ACAATCCCACGGTCCGTATAATAAATATGAGTTTTCAGAAAATATATCCGTCTTATTGACACGTTCATTAATAAAACAGAAATAAAACCCGTTTTACGAACACGACGCTACAATATAACATAAATAGTTTACTCGCACAAAAATAAGCGGTGAGGGAAATCTTTGCATCACATTCTGTTTCAGACCATAGGCGTTACTAAAGTCAACATTCTCAGGGGGTAAGGGGTTGTGGCCATTACAAATTGTAGGCGCTTTGTGTTGGAAACACAATTTTGCAGTTTAGTGTTTTTACCCTTCATAAATATTCAACTTAAAAGCAAGTAATAAGAATATTACATTTAAATGTAAGGGTAATAATTGTAAAATAATCTGAAATGCAGACGTTAAACGATGTAGCACGATGCACTAGAGAGGAAATGTTGGAAACCTCGGCTCGTTCCCTACAAACGTATATTGGTCAGGTATCGACAAGTAATAATTTTTATTGGAATTCGAAAGATTAAAATAATAAGTAAATGAGATCCGGAAGAACAAATAATATTTGTTACATATTATATACTTCCTTATAATATTAAATTTTGTTAAATTTTACTAGTTATACAATTTTTGAAAAAAAAATTGCAATAATTAATATAGAATAATTATAATCTGCATAATTAATAAATCAATTTAAAAATTTTTTTTTTTTTTATTTACAATTATAACAGTTATTCAAAGATTTAATTTATCTATGTTTATGTAATGAAATGTTAACATAGTAAACCTTTCACGGTCAGATTTTGCTGACTGTTGGTACAGGTAATCACAAAACATTTATTGATTACCGATCTTATTTAAAAATAATATATGACAGGTAAGCGTGTATACTAATATATTTACGAATTAGTTTTTTTTAATTTTTTTTTATTTTCGTTCAATTCTACTGCGTGGTGTTCTAATGTATTGACATTTGTATACTTTATTAGCTTAAAATGAATTGACGACAACGCAGACGAATGAAAAAGGAAATGAGAGAGGGTGACAAAATCGAAAAAGACCCAATATTTAAAACATAGAATAATATTTATGGTCGTTTTTATAAAAACATAATTCCTCAACATTGCATTTAAACGGAATGGATTTGCGTGTGCGACTGCGAGCTTGTGCCGCGACCGTGGGGTTGTATTTTAATAATGTGATGCAAGGGTGCGCGATGGTATATACTTTGGGGCAACGTTATTTTATAAATTCGTTTAATTTTTTTACATGTCATTTAATTATTTCCATTCGGATAATTGTCATGCCACGGGAAACTTTATTACATTGCGAAAATAATATACTATTATTGGTGTCTGTGCCGAACTTTTATACATTATATTATATATAATATTATAATGGTTGTAGTATTATATAGCTACCGAGGAATCTCTGTTATAAACGGTTATATTATATTACCGAACACACATAAACAAATTTGAAAACAACATTTATTTTATAGTTTCATAGTAAATTATATGAAATTGAGTACAAATAATATACGATTATAACCGCACAAATTATACTTGAAAGTAGTTCTGAGATATCGTCATGATTCCAAGCGAATAAAATTACATTATATTTTACAACACGGTTTAGATTTTTTTTGTTTTTTAACAGTATTAAAGCTTTCCTATGTCATAGCTCGTCAATAAAACGTAGATTTCGCAACATTTTGGTTACAAACAGAAAATTTTTAGTTTGAGCCGGTGTTTCTAATCAACTCCTTTTAATTCAGCTTTGTATAGTATAAACAGTGCTCTTGAACAGGATGAAGTCGCAGTCATTTTCAACATATATGTATACAACAAAACGCTATTAAAATATTTCATATTATGCGACACAGTATAAAAAAAAATAAAATTAATTGTCAAACAAAAACCTTATTATACAGAATACAATAAGCCAATGAATTGATTTTTTTATAATAATTAGAAATTATTTATTTGGAATCCTAAAATGTGTACATTATAAACAATATAACTTAATATACTTTATTATAGCAAATATCAATTTTGTAAATTTGTTGTAATTTAATATACTTTACGGCACACTTGGACTTATCTGGTGACGCATCAGTTTGTCGTTACACAACGATTGAAAAACACAAGATTAAGATGTATCCGTTGTGTGCCTTCTTTACAAGTTTCATTAATGTTCAATCAACATAGAAGTACATTTTACATAATGGATTATTCAATTTAAAAACCAACATCACGATAAAGTAGGGGATATTACCGATTTTGGGTGTCAATCTTTTCTTTATTTTTGTAGCCATTATATTAGTTACAGTTGTTACAGATGTATTCGTGTAAGCTTAGGAACGATCGTTGCCTTAAAAAAAAACTATTCCGAACAAATTTTAATATAAATGTAATACGTCTTATATAAAAATAAATTTCTATTTGTGTTAAATAATATTATTTAAACCGTGAACAATTTTTACAGCTTTTCTCTTAACTCAAACGCTTAGAAAAACTACTAAGGAAAAAGAAAAATTAACTTTCTTACATTCCATCCGAGTCTAACTATGAGATTCAAATGGCAAATTACATTATAATATTGAAGAATGTTACTGTAAAATGTTATCTTATTGCAGAATACTTATACAAAGTATCTACGTGTTAACTTTTTTTTAGTATTTTAATTTTTAAATAACACGCGGAAATTAAAACATTAATAATTTGTAACAATTATGAAATATTATTAAAAAAAAAAAAACCAAAAAAAAAAAATAACTTCAATGTTTAATCTATAAAATTAAAACGAAAAAAAATATTTGACATTTAACTATTTAAAATATATAGTTATTTAATTTATGTATTATTTTCTATTATATTAGTTGTTCGAATTTCTAACGCAATAAATGATTGAAATTTGGAAAATTGTTCTCTGCGAATTCCATTTAACATAGTACTTTAACATATATGTTTTATAGTACTCATGGATAATTTTGCTATTGCTCAAAGGCAAAAATAACAAATTACATTTTAAATAACCTTATACTTGTAACTGAAAGGCTACAGGGAAAAAACCGATAAAAGACAATATTCCTAAACTGTTTAGTATTGCAGTTTTAAAGTTTCAGAACTTAAAAACTAAGAAATGAAGTACGAAATAATTTAAAAATGTATTATGGTAATACAACTAATTTTTGAAAAAATGAATATAAAAAAATTTAATTTACTTTTTAAATCAAATGACAAGAATTATCAGATTTTTTCTTTTTTTAACTAATATCGTATTTTCCAGTAGCCTTTTAATTCATAAAAAAACATTATTTTTTAAAAACGAAATAAAATAATAGGTTGTGGAACTTTTTAAAGTTTCACGGTTCAACATTATCACGATAATACGCGCGATCGGGTACAGGTCTTAAGCATTTTTACGATTAATAACACAACAGTTACGTAATGATTAGAACAATTCTCGGTGATTACACCGAAAAATATTAATATTAATAATTAAATTAATAAATATTTATTATTATTTTTTTTAATATTTTATTTTATTAATTATTTATTATTTATATTAATATTTCTATCCAATATTATTCGTATTAGGAAAACTACTATAAAATCAATTACACAAATGATGCCCCGTGAACGTCGGGCGTTGATAATATGACCACTTGACTTCTGCGGGGTGCAGGGCGTTCGAATATATGAAATCCTCGTTTTATTGCAATAAGCTTCTCTCGATATATAGGGGAGAGAAGTCGGCTGCTTTCTGCTGATAGTGCAATAGTTTCTTTGGAGAACCATTTCGGTAGATTAAAGTAAGAATAAAATATTACTCAATTGCAGTGTACGCAGTCGACTCTTAAAATTTAAATAGTTTTTTTTCTCAAACATCAAAGTTGTAACACCGGATAAAATAATTTACATTTTTTTGCTGTTGAATATTATATTTTTAATATACTTATTGAATCATATAATTAATTATTAAATATATATTATAAAATTATACGAAACGGAAATCTTTGGTATGAACCACACGGAGTAGCAAAAAATTCCCTTGGGATAGATAATGCAGTAGTAAAAAATATTATAGTTCTAAACATTTCAATAATACCCCACAAACTACAAGGACAAGGACTGCAGGAAATATAGTTTGTGCTTCTAAACCAAGATTCGACTTTAATTCCAATAATAAGTATCAACAATCCCACACATATGTGCTATACTACATACCTATATAGATATCTATTAAATTTAGCTTTACACATTTTTATTAGTACTCGTAACAATTTTAATTTTTATTGTAAAACCATAACTTTTTCCAAAAATGAATGATATAAAATGAAATAAAATACCTACATAATTATAATTATCATTTACAAAGTTATTGAAATAAAATATCTACATAATTATAGAAAATGAACATAATTATAATCTATCAATTTATATTAAATTTAAATTTAGTCGTTCCGACCAAAACTGTCGGATATATGAATAGGTACACTACATATAGTGCTCAATTTAGAAAAATTAGTGAAGGGGACTCTATTTAGTTAAAAAAAAAAAAAAAAAGCGTCTCCAAAACTTGTTAAGCAGTATCATTTTAACGTAATAATAATAGGAAAATTAGTTAGGGTACTCCGTCCCCCATTGTCTTCCCCCGAGTCGATCACTTACTACATACCATGAACAATATGAAACTAATTAGGTATTCATATAGTAATGATAATATGAGCTTTTACAAATTACTTTTTACAGAATAAAAGCATACTTCAAAATGTTTTCTGAAATTTCAGGAAAATGAAAGGTTGAGACTCTTTTAGGCCCCCCCCCCCCCCCGTAAATATGTCCCTAGTAGTACCCACTAGTATTCAGTTCATATTTTTTTTGATTTTTCAAACATCACGTAACATTCATTAAATTACATTCCTTTAAATACATATATAATATAATTCTCACTTACGTGATATTATTTAATATGCACAACAAAACAATTTTCATCAATAAATTGAAAAATAATCTTACCCCTGAAATAATTGTAGAACTTTGTTCTTGACAATGCTAGCCCATTCTGGCAATGTTGGTGCCATGGCGATGTTTTCTGGGCTGTACCGTGTATGATGTTATCCATACTGTAACAAATAACGATTGGACGATGAACATTTTTCAGAAATAGTGTTGCGTTTATTGCAAATAAGAAGTTAAAACATGCTCAATCTCTGATATTTTTTGTAGAGCAATCGTATTGCATTCAGGGCTTGGAATCGAAATTAAAAATATCGGTATTTTAACCGGAAACTTTTGAAAATTAATTATTGATTATAATAATAATTAAAATAATAAATTATACACTATTGAACTATTCGATAGTTGTTATTCGGCAGTTCTTGCCGCGCATCATTAAAAATAAGATATCATACTACCAAAACATCCAATCAACTAATGCGATAATCTAGTATTAATTGATTTAATACAGTTTGTATATTATTGTAATATTAATCAACTAAAAACAATTATAAAAATGTACTTTGATTGATTCCTTATATATTTTGTGAGAAATTAGAGTTTTTTGTCAGAATGCAAATCGAGGTAATCGTTGCAATGCATTGTTGGAATTAGAGTTGTCTGAGTGAAAAATAAACATTTTTTTTTTCGCAAAATTGTTCATTGACACTTGCGTGCGTGTACGTGAGAGGTCCCTTACCGCTACCACTCATATTAAATATTACCGTTTCGTCGGGCCGTCGCGTTCCAAGGAAAATCAAATAATGCTCCTATAATGTCTTATAATTTAGTACTCAGTAATAATTTATTATTATATATAATACTAATAATAATAATTAATAGTAAGAACATATAATTCAGTTTTATCATACCTAATATGTTAGTAATAATACTCCATGCAACACTAGTCAACTCTATTTTTTTAAATTTATTTTGGATGTCTTTAAAACAAAATATTTAACTTAATAGGTAAGCCCTTTAACATAATAATAATGCTATAATTTGATTTTATAATTTTAGATAGTATGTATGATGTTTATAAGATATATTTTTTTATGACTTTTGAAAAAAATAACCCTTTAAATACCAGTATTATTTTTTTATTTTTATTTTTTTGTAGAACCAAATTGGAACCAAAACCGAAAAAATCATAAAGTTTCCAAGCCCTAATTGGATTTATTATTAATCGCATTTATATAAAAAAGGTAAAAAAAAAAAGGCGCAATCGTGTTGCAGCGCTGAACTCCAATTGATATAATATTTTTATAATAATAAAGTATTTTCCTTCAAATTATTTAAATTAATGTATTGCTTTTATTTAATAAATAATTTTTTTCTTAAAAATAGCAATACGAGTACTATAGCATTTATTAATAAAAAGCAATTAAATATTCAAATTAAAATATATTTGTACGCATGAATCAATGCTCGTCTCATTCTTTTAAAATAATATACGTTCAAAAAATCAATTATTGCAAAATCGTTAATTATTTAAATATTTAAAAAAAATACAGCTTAATTTCTATTGATTATAAATATACGTTTAAAATATTTCAATAAAAAATATTACGTTTAAAATTGATGATTATTATTATTATATAACAAAAAAATACATAAATACATCTAGCTTTAATATTTTATTTATTTTATATAACAACACAGAACGTGCCCAAATTAACATACCTATGGGCTTATGTTTACATTGATTGAATTATTTTTTATAAATTAAAATGTTAAGATTCACTCTCAAAAAAAAAAAAAATTATAAATAATGAGTTTTTTCAGAGCATTGCAATATACACATGTGTATATTAACAATATTATCTGATATAAAAAAAAAGAATTACATGAATTTTATAATTATTTTAGGGAACATTTTTAAATATGTTACTAAAGATTAAAACTACATATCATCATAAGTATTTTATCACAAATTAACACAAATTAAAGTTATATTTTACTTGCAGGTACCTACATCCAGAATTTATGAACCTCAAACAAGAAAGATAACTTCGTCCATTAAGATATTAGCTGCACTTGGCACAGACTCAATTCGAACTAATTTCGCTGCTTACAGTATACCCAAGTTTCAAAAACATATAAATCATTCAGAGTTAAATGGATATATTTAAATGAAAATAATTTCAATTTTTTAAAATCTGGAGCTATTTATAATTTGATTACATTTTAAAATCACATTCAATTAAATATTAAGTTTTATTTTAACGAATAATAAAGTTTTAACGTTGAGGGTTTTTGTTATATTTATTCATACAAACTATACATATCCCAATAAAATATTTTTTTTTATATGTAAAATATACGAGATATTTATATATACAACCTACTGTGCTTGGCATAATAACCATATGTAAAAAGTAACAGAATACATTGTTTGCATGAATAAGAAGTCACCGAATGACACTTTGTTTGAAGAATGAATGAAGAAAAGGAAGGATAGGAAATATTTATGAGAAAAGAGAAGAAATAAGGATAACCTAAAGAAATTTGAGATAATTAAGTGAATTAATTATTAAAGTCTCTATAAACTAATAAATTAAAAATTAATTTACTACTTATATTTAATTTCTAGTTATTCATTAAACATACACGCATTGCAAAATCAAATAATAATATATTTCATAATAAAAATGTACTTTCTACATTTTGCTATTTAATTTTATTTGCTATTATATGCTGAACAACTCATATTTCATATATTCTATTCCAGGAAAAATCACTAAAAAATCAGAACTAAATAATTACTGAAAAAAATCGAATAATAATAATGTTGACAGAAAGTTTTATTTAAAAATAAAAATTAAAGTCTGATAATAATAATGGAAATGTTATGAAATAAATTAAAACGAATCTATTTTTTTACTCTGTATCAATGTAAAATTTGTGTTACAAAAATATGCTTGTAATAAAAAAATACTTTGTTGGATATCTATGAAATCTAATAATACGAATCTAAGAACCTAAATGTTAAATATGATTAAGAATGTATGCTGTGTAAATGGCAGTCCAAACTGCTCAATAATAAGCTCAATAATAAAATAAACATGAAATATTTCGAATAAACTAATTTGTTTTCTGATTTTTATCTATCCTCAAAGCAATGGACGTAAGGTTTCAATTCATAATCAGCATTAAAACAAATTTATTTTTAAGTACAAATAGTCATTTTGAAACCCGGTTTCGAATTTGTTATTTTTCTAAGCAACATTTAACTGTATTTATCACATTTTTTAACAATCTACCAACAGATATGATAAATTTCGTTTTATAAATAAATTACTGTATGATGGATATAATGTATTTTAAAAATTAAAAAATTAAATTCATCATAGTTGCGAAAATTTGTTTTTTTTTTTTTTTTTACTATGCATATCAATGTAAAAATTATAACTTAATAAAGGTCAAATTTATACTTTTTATAATAACGTGAACATTGTTATTCACAAATAATCAAGAGAAAAGTATTTTGATCAAATTCAAAAATGTCCAAAACCTCAATTCAATATTCAAAAACCTTTGAAATATTTCTTATCATCTAATTTTACCATTAATTTATAAACTTCAGCCACATCTATCCAGCATTATGTAGTTAATTTATGTATCCATAGAGAAAACAGAAATTATAAAACAAAAATGCGATCACTGTGTTGTCATACACGCTTGAAATGAAGCTAAATATTATCAATCATTATTTCGTTATAACCAGAGGTGAAATAAAAATAAAAAGGCTCAGGTAAAATGACAAAAACTTAAAGCCAATATCTCAATATTTAATATGTTAATAATGTAAGATATCAATCGTCATCCTAATTCTAACAGATCATGGAACAAAACTTATGTGGAAAAATATAGATTGTTGCAGCTGAATTTGTAAAACATTAAATGCTGGATTAAGTATGTATGGGTCAAGTAGAGACAGTAAAAATAGCAACTCCTCTTTCAAATTTAACTTCAAAAAGTAGAACATAAAAATAATATACACATACTCCACCACTGGATTCATAACACACATTTTTATATTATTATTAGTAAATATTAAATGAAATAAAAATAAGATAATAAAACGTTAGCATGGAACTGTTTGATAGAGGGAAAATATCAAAAAGATAAAACAACAATAATTATATGTGTATTTAATAGTTATGTAAGTCAACTTGGAAAATAAATCTTTAAGAAGATATTAGAAAACGATGGTTGAGTATCAGTTAAAATAAAAACTATAGACGAGATAAACTATAGCCTAACGAGTTACTACAAATTCTAGCAAATAACATTGACGAAGATCGACCGTTCAGCCAGTCAGGATCTACATTTTACGATATACCTAACCTTATGCAGTACCAGATTACCCATTAGGCGGAGTAGGGGCTCGCCATAGGGCCTCACTCATTTAAGGGACCTCATGAAAACGGAAATCTATATTTTTTTTCTATTTAATAATACATGTATTCTATTTACGAATTTACGGGACAAAAGTCATTATGAAATATAATATATATCGAGTTGTAGGTGTTATATGCAGTAATAATAATTAAATTATTTAAAAAAATAAAAATAATATAATAATTAATTAAATTATCTTGCAAATATAAAAATTTAATAAACATGATTTTATTTAGTAGTCGGTTATTGTGAAAGCTGTTAATTTTAATTATTGGATAATAATGTTAAAGATGTACGTAAAAAATAATTTTGTAGGACCCAAAATTTTAATTGCCTAAGGGCCCACAAATGATTAATCCGGCACTGCCTATATGTGACAATTCAGCACACCTTATACCTAATTATTTTCACAGATCAAACCACAAATCAAGCTGCACATATTATTTCACAAATATCCTACTTATATAATTCTGTATAAAATTAAATAGGTGAGGAACCTAAAAAAAAAAAAAAATACAAATACAATAATTAGAGTCCATGCGGTATAGTATAAGTGTTTATGCGTAATAATGTTTATTCGTTTAATAGTAAAGCACCTACGAGGGGAAAACTGTAGATTTACAAGCAAGTACAATTACGGATATAATTCAACACAGTATACTCGATACAGTGATGTGCAATATAGAGAATTCGGTTCCGGTTTCAAAGTGGTAGGAAGAAAATACAACCAGTTCAGCATGCAAGGCTGTAATCTCAGACAAGCGGTACATCGGATCGAGGAAATTAGCGATTTGAAAAATACCGTAGGCGATAGTTATAATAATGTGAAAAACGATCAATGACAATATGAACGAATGAATATGCGTAAAACTCAAAACGTATTAGTACGTACCATGTCGACTCGGGGCTGCGGCTGCGACGACGACGACGGCAGCTACGGCGACGATCACGACAACGGCGGCGGTAGCAGAGCACGCGTATACCCGTTGGATTGGCGCGACGGCGGCCGAGCGGCGGACGACCGGGCGGACGCGGAAAATCCCCGGGAAAGCCGAACACGGTCGGGCCGGCAGGGTGGTCTCGACAGGGCGCAGGCGCATCCGGGACCCGGGCACGCGGCTCGCCGATTGGCCGACGGGTCGGGCGACCGGCCAACGGCGCGGGCCGCAGCTCGCCCACGTACCCGCGGGGTGCCCCCTTCCCACCGTTCCGTGCCCCCGCGTGCGCAGGTTCGCGTGCGCCACCGTACCTGTCAGGTGCGTCGCGGAAAATGGCTACACGTCGGCGGCGGCGGGCGGGCGGCTCGTTGCCCGGAAAAACGTCCGTGCGGAAAAAGTTGGTCGCGCCCCGCCGTCGATACATTTATTTTATTTTTTACAATTTTTTCCGAAAACATCATCGTGAATGCGTCATGTCGCGTCTCGACACAATGCGCGAGTCGTGTTTTATTTTTACCATACGGCGTAGTGCACTGTTCGTAAAGGTATCGTATCATAACAACAACTACGTGCAATACCTCGTACGGGATGATCGGAAATACCCCGCGGACCGTAACGTTTTTCTCGGTAATTTAAAAGTATCTCCGAGAAAACATAATGATACCCAATAATGTTGCTCTCGTCGTACCACGAACATAACATATTTTTTTTTTGTACACGACTAGAAGGTAGTACAGTAAAACTTCTGAATAGCGGACACTCACGGTACCGTCGGAATTGTCCGCTATTGAGAAAAATGAATAAAAATCTATGTATGTGCATATTTATAAGAAATTTAATTTTATTGGCGTTTTAAAAAAAAAAAAAATGTTTATTTAAGATATATTTAAGGTAATTAGAACGGCGAAAAAAAATCAAAAATTTTCTTTTGTCGCATTTCGCTCAAAATTAGATTGAAGTTGACTAACCAATGTCAATAAAACCGTATCACTCGTATTGAGACAAAATGTCTTCAACCGATTCGCTAACTGCAAAGCTTCTTTGAGCGTAATTTTTTGTTCGTAGACACCCGGAAAAACACACATTATCTATTTTAAAGCCCTTTTATAAAGTTTTTTTTTGTCTCTCTGTTCACGTTTTCATCGCACCATTTACGCAATAGATCTACCCGTGATTTGAGTATAGTTCCGATTTGAGTTTTCCCAACTTTAAATTGAGTGACTAATTCGCGTAAGCTTTGTTTCTTTGCATTATAACAATTTTTAATGTCGATTTTATTTTTTAACGTCAAACGCAACCATACTGGAGCACGGCAAATACGATACTAAAGATAGATATCGGTAAGCCATAATTTTTCTTACCTTATCGTGTTTATTAAATCATAAAGATAAATGTCTTTATCGGAAATATATAAATAGTATATAAAACAGGTTAGTGTATCCCGGTTTATCTGTCCCTTATCAAGAGGTATTTAAACATACCAGAAAACCTAAACCTGTCCGCGTCCGTTATTTAGAGGTGTCTACTTTTTAAAGGAGCGTAATCAATTAATTTCAATGGGGTTATGTCGGGGCCGGAAAGTTTGTCCGTTATTGAGAAGTGTCTGCTCATTATGGGTGTCCGTTAAGAAAGGTATCACTGTACATGATTTTTATTCCAACTTATGTTTCAAGTGAATACCGATACATAACAGTGGTAAAATATTCATGTCCACGACACGTTATATTCAAAACCGTTTAGATACTGTATTTCAGCATAATATCATTATAATAGTACATGCGCATACGGAAAAAAAACGCCACTCCACCATCAAATAATAATATTCTATATAGAGCCACTTATTCCAAGTAATTAACTACCACCTACTTATTCCAAAGTATTCTCCTCAATTACGTGTTTTCTAGTCAACTCCATTATTATTTAGGTATTATGCGTGATTTTCAAGTTTGTATATACTTAAATAAGAAAAATGTATCCAGCCAATATCTCAATTTAACAATAATAATATATATTTTATGCAGCTATACATTTTTTTTCTATTTCAAGAGCCATCTTTTTTTCACTTCAGTATAGCATGATCAATACATTTTAACTAACAGAATGATATCTATTTAACTGACACATAAGATTTAGATTTAAAAACATCTTTATGGCTTATAAAAATTGATCTTCAAATATGAAAATGAATACAATATTATCAATAATTACGCTTACGCAAAATGTGTTCAACTATGTACCAACTCTACTTACCTCATATTATAAACGATATAGAAGCGTCTAATATTACGATAGGTAATAGGTACCTACATCAAGTTATGAAATATTTTACATCTTATAAGAATTTGCTTGTATAAATATCTGCAAAAATTATGTAAAATCATATAATAAATATAATTATATAATGTGTGTTCATTATGTAAATTATTGTCATTTTTAAAAATCGATTTATACAAGTACGACTACGTACCTACATGTTTCGAAATCTTTAAAATAGAACGCAAGTATTACACCTTTATTTGTTTATTGTACCTACATCGTATATACTGGGTAAATAAAGCAATATAAAGCTCCAGTACCGTTCGATTATTATAATATACATTTTAACTTTTTTTTCATCTGTAGTCACGATGGTGTTACGATAAATCGATAATAAAAATCACTAGTAATCTATATAAATCTAAATGAAGTTCAAATAAAGTTTTAACGCTCTAGTCGTAGTTAGTTACATAATCGTTATTTATATTATTATTATGCGATAGCCTACAGAAGTGATACGACTTTCGATCGTTTTGTCATGATAAAGTCATTAATTAAAAATTTACGTTCACTTATTTGGAGAGCATTTCATTTTATTTTTATCAAAAGAACATACAGCGGTTCTTCTTTTACGTACTTATATATATTATACACACACATAAACACACATAAATATATAATATAATAATAATTATATAACAAATGTTATCAAGATGATACTTTCAACGAATATTTAATTTAAACATGGAAAAAATGATTCCAGTTGACTAAATAATTCCAAAATATTACTAAAACGTATACAATTCTATAATCATTAGGTATTTATAACTAGATGTATCTTAACTTTCCAATAAATATCTAAATAATCAAAATTTCATAAGCATTACCAATTATAAATATATTCAGGTTCATCTATAAAAATTTGTCATTATAAACACTGATCAGACATTCTGGAATATTTGGGTATTTTAAATTATAAATACGTCGATCATTATATAAAATGGTAAAGCTGGTGTGTCAAAATATTATAATTATATATATTAAAATATAATTTTTAATACATAGTACCTATACGCATAAGTGTATTTCAATACCTTATCATTATGCGATTTTTTTTTATTGATTTCAATGTTTTAAAGAAGTTCAGTTATCACTCAGAGAAGTAACGGAGTTTTTTTTTTTTTTTTAATGAGATTTTAACGTTACATTATGATATCTCGACAATTAAGTACATGAATTTGAAATAAATTAAGGTTGGTAAAGCTCACACTCTTAAATTCGGAGACCTGATTGCAGAATAAAATTTAGCGTATGTTTGATTATATTAGTATTGTCGGTTGAAAGAGCATCAATAAGGGAAAAATGAATACCAAAGATGAAAAAGAGAATCTTTAGCTGAGACCTTTGGATAGATAGAGATTGACAATTTATGAGTAGGTGATGGAAATCACAGTATTCTCCACCACAGTTGGGTAGAGGACAACACACACTACTGTTGAGTCCCAATTTAAATGAGTGGTGTGGTAATAGGCTATGGCTCGTGTGCAGTGGCGTAGTTACGGGGAGGGTGTAAGGGGTTTCCACTCCCCCCAGGTTTTTTTAATGATATTTGATCATTATTTATTAAAATTTACATATTATAGTAAAATATTTTGGTTTTACTGTGATTAGTAGTTATATATTAAAATTGAGTAACAAAATAATTTTCATTAAATACGGGACATAATAATACCATTTTAAATGCAATATTATAACATATCACCTCATTTTAAGATATACTAAAAACACTTAAAAAACTTACTTTTAAACACCCCCCCCCCCCCAGAAAAAATTGTATCTACGCCACTGCCCGTGCGTAATCTAGTGAATTTAGCTATGGCTGCACGGCTCATCTTTAAGGAATGAAACCATGGTCGATTAGGGATGTTTTTAAATAATGACCTATAACCAAAAGCATAGGATTCTGGTAAGGAATCCCATTCCAGCTTCCATTGTTCATTTATAAATTTGCAATGTAAAGAGACTAAATCCGTATAGGGACACTACAGTGGACTCGAGTAAGAGTGGTTGGCGGTTGAGCCAGCTAACGAATCAACGTATTCGTTACCATTTATGCCTATATGCCCTGGAGCCCATAGGAAGGAGATGGAGAATGACCTGATTTTGAGGGATAGTAGTAATGCGCGGATTTTTAGAATTACGGGGGAGTACTTCGATAGGAAGGGGGTAACGGAGTTGTATTCCAATTTCTGAATCCAAGGTTAAGACAAATGTTCTTATATCAAATAATATGGTACAAGAAAATGTAAAAGTAAAAATATTGAAATTTTATTCAACTCCAAATGCCCATAGCAACATCAGCCCATTAGCAACACATAGTTTTCATTTGGTAATACAACGATTTTATAGGAGAACAATTATTCATAGATTTCACCAAAACTAACCTATTAATTTCTATTTCTTTATGTAATCCAGAATGTACTGATTAAATACCACTAATTTTTTTACCATTCATAATATTCATAAAATCTTTTGCTCTTAACGTTGATTCAGTGTACCAATTTAAAGACAAATGTATTTTAGAAGACGCATGAAAATCCTTATACTTAGTAAACGGTTTTATTATAAATCAAGCTTGTACGCCTCTATGAATTGATGGCTTTAATAACACATATATTTTACAAAAAGCTTCTCTCACACCCTCAAGACAGGGGCATATTTATGGGGGGCGAGGGGGCCCGGGCCCCCTCCAAAATGAAAAACACCATTGTTAAAGATTGTTATTTTTAATATGGATATGTCTTAATGCTAGGGGTTTCCGAAAATTTGTCGCGACACTGAGAATGTTGCTTATGCGATAATTTA